CATGGCCCAGTGAGAAGAGAAGGCCAAGCTCCAGACCACTGTACAAGACCAACAAATGGTTGTGATTTAGCAAGTTATTGCTGTGTTTCCAGTATCTTTTTAGGCACTAAACCTGGGTGTTTTGTAGCCACCTATCACTGGGTTTTTCCCTCTGCTTTTTAGGCACTAAATGTGGGAGTTTTGTAGCAACCCATCACAGTTTTTCCATCTTTAGACAGTAAGTGTAGGTGTTTTTTAGTGACATATCACTGGTTTTCCAGCAGCTTTTTGGGTATGAAACATCTGTGTTTAGTAGCAACACATTGCTATTTTTCCAGTGACTTTTTAGGCACCAGTACAGGGGGTTTTGTAGCAACCTATCACTGGGTTTTTCCCTTGGCTTTTAAGGCACCAAAACTGGGTGTTTGGTAGCAACCAGTCACCATGTCTCCATCTGCATTTTAGGCAGTAAACATAGGTGTTTTGTAGTGGCCTTTCACTGGTTTTCCAGCAGCTTTTCAGGTACCAAATGTCTCTGTTTTGTAGCAATGCATAGTTATTTTTACAGTGGCTTTTTAGGCACTAGAATTGGGTGTTCTGCAGCGACCTATCACTGGGTTTTTCCATCAGCTTTTTAGGCACTAAACATGGGTGTTTTGTAGCAGCCAGTCATTGTGTTTCCATCAACTTTTTAAAAAGTAATTGTAGGTATTTTGTAGCCACCTTTTGCTTGTTTTCCAGCAGCTTTTTAGGCATCAAAAACTGGGAGTTTTGTAGCAACCAGTCACTGTGTTTCCATTGACTTTTTAGGCACTAAATGTGGGTGTTTTGTAGCCACCTATCGCTGTTTTTCCAGCTGCTTTTTAGGCACTTAACGTTGGTGTTTTGTATTAATGGGTTTCTATTTTTCCAGCGTTTTTTGGGCACCAAATGAAGGTGTTTTGTAGTGACCTGTAGCTGTTTTTTTGAGCTGGGAGAGTGCCATGAAAAGCAGGTATCCTTTCCTAACCATAACCAAGTAGTTTTTGTGCCTAAACCTAATAACACATAAACCACAGTGTATTTGATATGTAAAGTTTCAGTGTAACTGCTACATAAAAACTTGTAACATGTAACATATCTATGGTTTGCAGGAATGTACAATGCCAACATTATTTCTGTCAATTGAGTTGGACATTTCTGTTCTGTAATTTCTTGTTACTTGTCAGCTGACATACACACAGATATTAATAAATCTGCAATAAACTGAAACTGGCCGATGTAATGCCCTGGGTTTGGTCTAAAAGGGTTTAATGACCATGATTCTTCACATCTACTAGGGTTGTTTTCCTTATTTTGTTGTCACTGTACTGACCTCCATAAAGCTTTCACTTGCTCTCCCTTGTTTGTGTCTCTCAGACTTGCAAGATGCTGTAGAGGAGGTGTTGCCCACTTTGAAACAACAGGGCATCCGTGTGTTTATCCTCAGTGAGAAGTGTGATGTAGAGGGCATTGAAAGCTTCTCTGGTAAAATTCAGCAGGCCTCAGACCAGCCTGTGTCCCCTGAGCTGAGGGCCAACATCAAGATAAAGAGCCCTGCGCTGTACATCTACACCTCAGGAACGACAGGTAGGTCAACAAACTCATCTGACCTTCACCTTTAATCTGCTTTTGTGTTTTTAGTGTGCAGAGCTGCAGAAGTAGGACAATAACAATTACCCAAGTCTGCCTCTCATGACGATGTTTCTTTTTAGGGCTTCCAAAGGCAGCTGTAATCAACCATGAAAGGGTTTGGATGGCAACTTTTCTGCAGGCTGTTGCTGGCGTACGCTCAGACGATGTCATCTACATTTACCTGCCTCTGTACCATTCTGCTGGCTTTCTGATGGGACTTTGTGGGGCCATAGAAAACGGTAATTCATTGCACCATAAAAGTACAAAACATGACTTCCAGGCTGAAGCCTGATGAGTTTACCAAAGGTTAAACAAACAGCTTAATGACCTCAAATCACACTTTGACTTTGATTTCCACTATTTGTATTTCAAAGTCCTGAAGGTTTACGACACTAACTGAGCTCTCAGTGTGAGATTATGTGTTTATGAAATCTGTGCCTCTTCATTTTCAGGCATCACTGTTGTTTTAAGGCGTAAATTCTCTGCGTCCCACTTCTGGAATGACTGTCGAAAGTACAATGTGACTGTTATTCAGTACATAGGGGAAATCATGCGCTATCTCTGCAGCGCACCAAAGGTAAACCTCAGGGCAATGTCACATTGTTACATCATTTTACCATCATTATAAAAGGCTACAACAGTATATATATAAATTAATCATAAAAAGCTTTAATGCCATTCGCTAAAAGCTAACACCTACAGGAGTCAGATACGCTGCTTGTACCCAAAACCAAAGGTAAACATAATGTGATGTTTCTTGTCCTGATCTCACTTCTCTTCTAGAGAGACAATGACAGAGATCATAAAGTCCGACTGGCTTTGGGGAACGGTATAAGATCCGATACCTGGGCCGATTTCCTGCAGCGATTTGGGGACATTTGCATCTGTGAATGCTACGGAGCAACAGAAGGAAATGTTGGATTTGTCAACTACTGCGGCAAAGTTGGAGCAATTGGCAAAGAGCATTTTCTCTACAAAGTAAGAGGTCCCTTGTTTCTGTATTTTTGTTGTAGAGTTTAATATTAAACACTATGGGATGAAGTTGGAGGGCTGGCTAGACTATTTTTTCCAGCTTTTACGGGTGCTAATTGCATCATTGCAATATAAACAATATGAGTTTAAATGTGCAAAACAAGATTATTTATATGACTACTTTATTTTCAGCTCTGTCGCTAGGAGAAAGTGTTTGCATTGTACATTTCTGCAAACTGGATATGTTACATTTGTACATTACATACATGTATTACTGTTTCTAAAGTGACATTCATGAGCTGATTTTGTCATCTGAAGATGAAGATGACTATTTGAGATCAACAAAAAACAACACCAGTTGATTTTGGTGACAATTCATGCTGTTTTCACCAGTGTTTGTGCCACGTTGCGGCGTTTCCCAGTAGTGTTTGAGCCACTGAATCTGGGTATATTTCACTGACTTTCACTGACACTGCTGCTTCTCCAGCAACCTTGTGCCACCAAATATTGGTATTTTAAGCCAAAAAATGATCTTTTCCTAGCCAATACCAAGTGGTTTTTGTGCCTAAAGCCAACCAATCCTTCACCAAAGCATTGTTGAATAAGTTTCAACATATTTGCTACAAAATAGTGTACAATAGTGTAATGTATCTGTGTTTTGTAGAAACTACATTGCAAACATTTACTGTGGCGATTGGGTTTCTTATTCTTCACCACGTTTTGCTCTGGGTCTGTCTTTCAGATGGCGTGTAAGTATGCTCTCATAAGGTACGACACAGAGAAAGAGGAGCCAGTCAAAGACTCCAGAGGATTCTGTATTGAAGTCCCCAGAGGTGAGCCAATCTCCTCCTAAAGCATAGCTCTCTCTTGACCTTGTAGCTCTGACTAATACCCATCGTTGTTACTTTGACTCGCAGGAGAGACGGGTCTGTTGGTAGCAAAGATCGGAAAGAGAGCACCCTTCAGCGGCTATGCCAAGAACACTCAGCAGACAGAGAAGAAGAAGTTGAGAGATGTGTTTGTGAAGGGAGACCTTTACTTTAACAGTGGGGACCTTCTAAAGATAGACCACGAGGGATTTATCTTCTTCCAAGACCGCATTGGAGACACTTTCAGGTGAGTGGATGAAACCAATTGAACAAATGTGAGAAGCAAAGCAAATAATGGAATCCACGTCTGAAAACAGGGTTGCTGTTGGTTGGATTAAAAGTAGAACAAAGCCTGATTGCCAACCGTTACAGATGATTGACTTCTGTAGATTAATGTTATTCAAAATCCCTGAAAGTCATGTCAGCTCAGGCATATTTTGAATTTGAAAGTCACCAGCTGGAAAAAACCTATGGAATAATAACATTTTGTCTCTAGAAACTGAATTTAAGATGTTCTTCACATTTTATTATTATTTCAGCATTTCTGCAAGTGAAAAAAGATTTTTCCTGACTGTTTTTATGTAAATTATAACTAACTGTTCTCTTACATACTGTCATTCAATACAGGTGGAAAGGAGAAAACGTGGCAACCACAGAGGTGGCCGATCATTTGCTCACAGTGGACTGCATTGAGGAGGCTAATGTCTATGGTGTGAAGGTGCCAGGTAATAATGACACTATTAGCAGTTATTTAAGATTCATAAATTACATAGGCTACTAATTAAAAAATGGGTATTAGAAAGATCTCGTATGTGAAAATCTCCAAGGTATAAAATTAGTAAAAGGTTTTCTCTGACCACCAAATCTGTGTCTGAGTCTGTTTAGGGTTTTTAAAGCTTTGATTAGACCTGTTGGATCTATATAACCTTTCACATGCCTGTTAATCATCAACCACTGTAATCATAAATCATGTTAATCCTTCAAGTAAAGTTTAAAAATATGAGAATTTAGAAGAATTTTGAAAGGGGACAGCACATATTTGAAACAAGTGCTTACTGTGAAACACAGGCAGAGCTGTTCATGCTCACGTCCTGGAATAAGTCTAAATAAACAGCTCTGACGTTCAATCATTAGGACACGAGGGAAGAATTGGAATGGCAGCACTGACGCTCAAAGAAAACATGGAGTTTGACGGCAAAGCTACATATCAGCATGTCAAAAGCTACCTCCCTAGCTACGCAAGACCGCGCTTCATACGCATACAGGTAAGCTAAGTCTTGCTCAATAAGATAATAACACATTAAAAAAAATGTCTTGCAACCATTATACAGCCATTTATGTTCCTCTGGCAGGATGCACTGGTAGTAACTGGGACATTTAAGCAAATGAAGGTGAAGCTGGCAGAGGAGGGCTTCAACCCAGCTGTCATCAAGGACCCTTTGTTCTACCTGGAGGACAACAAGGGCTACGTACCCATGACTCAGGAGATATTCAACTCCATCGCAGAGGGAAAAATCAGGCTCTGAATGAATTCAGTGTTTATTGTTGGATTTTCAACCTCAAAATTGTACATTTGATTTTTAGGCTTTAAAGGACCAGTTTGTAGGATATAGCGGCATCTAGTGGTGAGGTTAAAGATTGCAGCTGACTGAATACCTCTCCCCTCACGCCTGCCTTTCCAAGAATGTTGGAGAACCTGTGGTGGCCTTCATTCAAATAGACTACCACAATATTTTTTAACTCAATATCGATATTGCAACAATATTGTGGGGACGACTGTTGGTGCTTTTACAAAATATCTACACAATGAGATTTTTGATAAATAATTATCAGTAATGTGGATAGAATGACTAAGTGATTAAAGAGCTAAAACAGTCTGCTAGATTACTTCACTTTACTGTAATGCAGCCTTTAAAAGACAGCGCTTACAATATTACGATATCCAAAATCTATGACGCGACCAAACTTAAGCTGCGACTTTAATGTAAAAAAAGACGAAAGACCCTCTCTAGCGCCATGGTTTGGTTTGTCTTTTTTGGGCTACTGTAGAAACACGGTGGTACAAAGAGATGGTCACACATGAGCGAATATAGGTGAGTGGCCATTGCTTGCCAAGGCGATATTCATGCTGAATGTGGTTAGCTTCTGATGGGACACAGAAAGCTAGCTGGCCAAGAAATACTGTGAAATATGATGTCGTTGGTACATTTTCCATTTTCTTACATTCAGTGTCTGTCTCCCAACTCACTGCCAGACAGGTAGCATTTCATGCAGAGCAGTTTGTATTTTTCTTGACCAACATCATACAATATCAGCTGGTCGGCAACAGTCAGTGACACATCCATAAAGGTGTGACTTTGCTAGTCAAAGTTCACCAAGTTAAACTGCACACAATGCCACAATGTGAATTTGCTTTGCCATCGGAAGCTTATGTTTTATTCACCGCTCTGCTCGCATTGAATGCAAGTGAATAAGAGGCAAATATTTGCCAGGGTTAATTTTGCTCATGTGTGACCGTATCTCAACAAGGCTGACTGTAGATAAGTTGGGGCTCATCATGGTTCTTAGTTTCAGGTGATTATACACCAATGAAGACATCATTTTGAATATTATATTCAATTTCTGCCAGTAGATCCCTCTAAATCCTGCACACTTTATTGAAACAGGATGCCAAGTAATGATAAATGACCTGCACATTGAGCATTTATGTACAACACATTTCATGAGCTACTTGTGGGTAATATTGTGCACTGAAATATTTCAAAGTATATAATTTTGTTTGAAACACTTTTTAATAAAAATATTTTTAAAAACATGATTGTAAACCATCACAGCAATCCCAAATCATTGACACAGTTAGATGGTGATCTTCAATTCAGACAAGTACTGAATATGCCGGCTCACAGCTGGTAGTAAATTGCTTAATTATTAAATAGCTGAATTACTCTGTGTGTTTGTGTGTGTGTGTGTGTGTATTACTGTACACTGCTTTCAGCATCTTTACAGGAGCTTGGGTGCAGTGGCAGTTTCCAGTGGAGTAGGAGAGGGGGCTGTGTTGGTTACAGGAGAAGAGGACATACAGTTTATTCTTCTGCAGGTGGAGGACAAGTGTTTTTGAGTTCCCTGTGAGACCTTCACGGGGCAGCACAGCTGGTGCCGACCGCACTGCACCCACTGGTTGCAGAAACTGGGCACGCTGTAGAACTTTGTCAGCTTTTTCAGGACCTGTTTACCCAGAAGATTTGAAGGCATCTCTGTGATCTTAAACATAGGACCAGATCCTGCTGCTGATGGCGCACTGGGGAGGGCTCCTGCAGCATCTTTAAGACCAGGCCTTGTGTCAAAGTCACAGCCAGACAGCGGCCCGGTGTAAGTGTACGGCTCGCTGCTGCAGCTAAGAGACCGCATTGGTCTCCGAGATCGATTCCAGGCCTTGTCAATCCACAGCTCCACCTGAGCCTTGTCCAGGCTGGAGGCAGCATTATCTCTCTCCTCAGACTGGGTGCCTGATTTGGGGTCTTGGTTTTCGTCTATCACCTCGTCTTTCCCTAATTTTGGTTGGTCTGCATTATTCAGTGCCTGCGTCTCAGCCAGAAGAGCGGAAGCCGTTTTGGAGATGATGCTCCAGTCCTTAAGGATGTCATCTGCGGTGGTGAACTGTGAGGTCACCGTGAATCGGATGATACGCTTGGTGTGAATGTCTGCAGGGATGAGGTACATGGTGCCTGACCGGGTCAGTCTCCTCAGCAGCTCCTGGGTCAAATTATTTCCTCCCTAGAATAAGAAAATTACAAAATATTCATAATCACTGCAGGCCCTTAAAAACCTAACAGCTCCAGAACAAAGCTGAAACATTTTCAGCGACATCAAGTCAAGGTTTCAGCTCTCTTTAACAATCACTGATATGACTCTGACCTGAGCTTGTTAAAGCTGGCTGACCTTATTCAATAACTCACCTTTGAACGAGGTGTGACTGGGAAGTCTGAACAATGATTAGCTAGTGAAAGACATGTTGCTTGTCACAAGTTTACTGCACAAACGGTACAAATTTGTGCCACATACTTTCAGACAGAAGACCACCAGGCCGAGGTGCCTCTCTGCAGGAACTTCAAAATTTGGGTCACTTCTTATGTGAGACTCCAAAAGCTTTGCCATCTCAATCCCCTAGAAAAGACAAAATAAATGATCAAATGAATATACATGTAAAAACTGAAACTTAAAACCAAGAAAATACCGCAGGTTGTCATAGAAACTAAATACACTCTAAATACTCAGTCCTCATCTTTATTCGTGATCAAAATTTTATTTCCCAGTACGGGAGGTGAGTTTAAAGGCAACTTATGAGCATCTACATATGCCGGTAATACTGGACTTATTCTATGACATTCATCGACTTCATTATGGTCTTGCATATTTCATTCATTTTAATTTTTATTTTGTTTCTTTTTTAAATGATGATATTAAGAGTATTTGTCAGGGGAAAGTGGCATGGTGGTGCAATGGTTAACATTGTTTACAGAAAGAGGGTACTTGGTCTGAACCCTGGGGTGTGTGAGCCCTTCTGTATGGAGTTTGCATGCTCTCCCCGTGTCAGTGTGGGTTTTTTCCAGGTGCTCCAGCTTCCTCCCACAGTCCAAAGACATGCAGGTTAGTTGGTCACTCTAAATTCTCCGTAGGTGTGAATGTGAGTGTGAATGGTTGTCTGTCAGCCCTGTGATAGTCTGGTGACCTGTCCAGGGTGTACCCTGCCTCTTGCCCAATGTCAGCTGGGATAGGCTCCAGCCCCCCTTCGACCCACAACAGTGAAGGCGGGAATGGAAAATGAATGAATAAATGAATGTCAGGGGAAAGGTTTAAGAGGTTCAGAATATAAGGATCCTATTGTCCTTACAGTCTTTAAAGTTTCTCCTCCTCCCTTCTCCCACCCTGGATGGAATATGGGTAAGACAACCCAGAAGCAACAAGACAGACGCAGACTAAAATAAAACAGACTAAAATAGAAATAGTGAATAAATAAAACAAGTGAAACATCAGTTAATGTCAAAAACTGCCACAGGGAAACATAGAGACCATATCTTGGTATTAAAATTTATATACAGTCACAAATGTTATTTCACAGTCTGGGTTATATAACTTAACTTCCACCAGTGCCTCGGGCAAGGTGTTAATTGTATTTCCCTTTGTACTCTTGGTTCAAGCTCCAGAGCAGCAACACTCAACTTAGTTGAGCCCTTGGGAGCCAAAAGCCTCAATCCTCAATGATGCAAGGTTGAAAACAGGTAATTCATTTATTATATATACTGATAAATATAATTAATGTTTGTATATTTACTGTCCTCTGGTCTTTGATCATTTTGCTAAAGCAAGTTGAGTTTCTGCTGTACGGAGATTCAGAGAGGTCTAGTAATTAAAGAATCCACTGGGAAATCTAAAGTTTAAGGGGAGGCTTCCACCTTAATAGTACCAACTTTAAGCAGATGTCAGGCCTATATAAAGACTCTAGGTCTTTATATGATATTTTTTTTAAATATTTATTCCTAAGAAAATTTGCATGAAGAGAACTAAATGCCACTTACATGTCTGATATGAGCCTGGAGGTTTTTCAGTCCAAAGGAGCGCATCACAAACCAGAGTTTGAGAGAACGGAAACGTCGGCTGAGAGGAATTTGCCAGTGCTGAACAACAGGAGGAGAAAAGGTCATAGCATGAAATGATCCAATATGATAACTGAGTCTTGAATTAGGTGAAGACATGGCAGTGTGATACCATGAAGTCTGTGGCTGCCTGTGAGTTTTCATGTCGGAGGTAAACAGGATCAACAGTGAATGTCTGCTGGAGCTTATATTTATCCTTGACCCTGAGAAAACAAAGTTCAACCATATCATCAACCTATCTTTATTTTAATTTAGATTTTCTTTTCCTATTGAGGTGATGTTAGATAAGGTTTCAGTGTTCTTCCTTACCAGAAAGCCGTGCAGTCAAAATGGACCATCATCCACTTTGAGGGGTTGAAGACAAAAGAGTGAGCAAATTCAATGCCCTGCAGGGACCAGCGGAGCTCAGGACAGAAGTAGGCTGAGCCGGCGTATGCAGCATCAACATGGAGCCACAGTCCCTCTTCTGCACCTGTAGATAAACATTTAAACACAAACACTGTAATTCTCCTATTGCATCTCAGTGCAACAACACAATGTTTGACTTCCCAGGCAGTTTTTAAACAGACATTATTGGGAGGAAATTTGAAGACGTACAGACTGGTCCCAGTTCAGACAAGTTGTCGAAGGCACAGACTCCTGTGGTTCCCAAAGTTGCACATAGCTGAACAGGAGAGAAACAAAATCACATATATGATGTAATATTCAATGTAAAACACAGTAGTTTTAGCTTAGCTCTACAAATTGTACAATTACATTTTATCACTGACCATTTTTTATATTTTCACCTTTGAAGCAGCATTGTTTCTTTTTCATTTCAAGGTATTTGTAGAGGTGGGATAAGTACTTAGATCTTGTACGTGAAAGTATCAATACGTTAATGTGAAAATTCTCCATTACAAGTTGAAGTCCTGCATTAAAACTCCGACTTAGGTAAACACACAAGTATTATCAGCAACATATACATACACACAGTATTAAAGTAAAAGGAGATGTTCTGCAGAAAAATGTCCCATGACTGATATATTTTTATTCATAACATTGTTAGATTACATTTTTGGTGATGTGGCCAGTTTTAACTGCTTTAGTTTGACCAGTTGTTCCAGATGAAGGGGTTGAGCTCTCCAAAGATTCACAAGATAAATCTGAGGGGTCACGAGATGATTAATGGGAGAGGAAAAAAACAACTTCTGATACATACATTTGTGTAACTTTTTCAGTCTTCTAAATTTCCCTCTCTTAAACAATGATTTAAATGAAATCACTTGAGACATTTATGGGGTGTCTCGTTGAAATGTGACGAGGGGATCCCAAGTTGACACTGCTTTTATATATATTTTTGCACAATTGACAACTGACTTTCATATCTTAGATTTTGGATTTTGCTTGAATGTACCAACAAGAAAGATTCTAAAATATGATATTTTATAGTACAATAGTGTGTGCTTTAAAAGTAGTTGCCAGTCCAACACATTCTCACTGCGACCTTGTCACATATCAACATTTGGTCATGGACTTTCCACGTCCAGATACTATGTGCAAGGTACCCTGGGTGCGTTGGTTGTTGATGTTCTGGGACGCCGTGTCAAGTTCTGCCTGTTACATGCATTGTCGTTTTTCAAAATACACTTCTGTTTTCACAGGAAATTTACCATTAACATACAGTCTCTTTCAAAATAAATGCACTACGTCTGTACAATAACGCAGATTGATGTTTTTTTTTCCCTCAACAACTAATACACATGGTTGGGTTTTGAAAAAAAGAACAGGGTTTGGCTTTAGAATCTAACAGGACACAAACGCTGCTCTTTTCACATATACACTCTTATTATACCCATGCCATCCCTCAGCATCAAATACCAACCATGAAAGGGACCAGTCCCCGCCTCCTGTCCTCCTGTATGGCTTGTCTCAAAGTGTCACCTCTCAGAGACAACTTCTCATCAGTGGCAAGAAATGTGATCTTCACCAGGGAGATCAGACCTGCCTTCTCAACTGAGGAATGAGCCTATAAAAACAATCACACATGATATCAGTTTTTCTTTAATCTGATTGACAGGAGGGTATTGTACAAGGAGCACTGACACTGACCTGGTCTGAAGCGTAGGCCACCAGTCTTGAATTTAGGACCGAGTCATCTACATCCTGGTCGAGCTCCGCCCTCAGCTGCGTAATTTTGTCTTTTCTGGCTGCCAGCAGAGCAACCAGTGTGCTCTCACTGACTGTGCTCTAACAGGAGTGTCAGGTAGAAGAAAAAGATAATAAGTTAACAGAGATTACCGTGTAAAGGTTTAGGGTTTAAAATAACTAGTCAAAGCTGCTGCAGACCTGCAGAATGCCTCCACCTCTGCTGTCAGGGTGGTGGTGCAGAAAGAAGGAGGGGAGCCCCAGTGCTTTACACAACCAGTCCATCACATTCATCTCCAGTTCTGTGCACGCTGGGCTGGAGGCCTGTTCAAAACCAGCGACAGACAATTTAATATTCAGATGGTGTAACTCCATTGTGGTTAGGTAGTGTAGTGGAGAAATAGTGCACCTTACCCAGGTGAATCCAACACAGTTGATGGCATCAGCCAGCATGTCTCCAAGCATAGAGGGCCATGAAGTCAGACTGGGGTAGTAGGCATGCATGTGAGGGCTCTGCCAGTGAACCACCTGTGGAAGAAGATGAGAAAATACTTCATAAAGCAGACAGGGAAAGGTGCACCCTACCTTCACATGTTACAATAATGGATGACATTACTTACTCCTGGCATGATGACTTTCTCAATGTCGTCGAAGATACTCTCCCAGTCCTCTGGCTCTGTGGGCGCTGTGTCAGGGAGAAGCTCCTTCATGTAACCTGGCTTCACATCTGGAATCACCCGTCTCTCCCTGATGGAGCCCAGGTACTGTGTGATGTAGTCGACCAGCTCCTTACCTGATCAGTAACAGACACTGTAACAGCTGGAATGATATCCATATTCCTATGTTTCCTTATCATTACCTGCAGTGAAATTTAACAACAGACAAAATCAGTAGTAAAATGGAAGTTATGATTACCTCTGCGATTGTACTCCTCGGCCTGCATTTTATATTTCAGATGAGAGCTCTTTGGGTTAATTTGGTGTGTGTGAGAGGAGGCTGCAATAATGCTTTGTGTATTGTGTGGCAGAGATCACAGAACTATATAGACCCTGTTGGGAGGAACACGCCCTGAACCGGTGACGCATTTGAACCACCGAAAAAGAAAAAAGCCCTTCACATGTTTTTTCCATCACTGGAGTCATTGGTCACAGCACCCATTCACTACAGCTTTGTACTTAATATTTACCCTCCTCTGGTGGTAATGATTTATTTGTTCACATCTTCAACATGATACTGTTTTTAGCACGATGGGACGATGTTATCGTAACAGTGCAATATTATTTGAGTAATACACATCAATGCCTCTGCACCTGTAACAATCATCTCTATATAGAAAGAAAATAACCCCAGTGTCATTATAATCATTATTATTTTATGTGCAATTTAAAATGATCGGTTTATATACTGCACTAGGACTTCCTATGTATGTGAAATATATTTTACATATGATCTGACACCATACATTTAAAGAAGGATTTGGAGTGTATTGTGAAATAGATCAAACATATTTGCAATTTATTACAGTGACTTTTCAATTGTTTATATCACACTTATTTTATCGTAAAAACCTGAATATGAAAAATAGGTACAATTACATTTTATAATATAAAACGATAATGATGTTGTTTTTTTGCCCTTGCATAATTAGATTGTTAAAAGGCCTACTGATGCATTTTACTGTTGTAGCTGGTTGAGCTGGAGCTAGTTTTAAGTATCTTATATGGTTGGCACAGTAGTTTAATCCAGCACATGGTTCTCAACATGGGATCTCATTTATAAAACAATGCATAGGATCCATACTAAAAATGTACGTATGGACAAAAGTCAAAAATGCGTGCGTCAAAAATATTGACAGTTTCTACAATCAGACTTCCACCTCACCATCTGCATCGCCACTTTCACGTCTCCAAAATGTTCATAGGCATGGGTCAAAGTTTCTCCCATCAAGTCTGTTTTTAATAGATCACAACTTTTCAGTGGGAAGTGGCGTACACCTCTGTCAGGCCTCGTATTGTGCTTACTCTGCCGAGGCTACCATACAAGGTGCCACCTACTACTCAGTAACCATTCACACCCACACACCGATGGAACAGCCATCAGGTGCAATTTTGGGTTCAGGATCTTGCCCAAGGACACTTTGACATGCGGACTGGAGCAGCCAGGGACCCAACTACCAATCTTCCAATTAGTGTACGACCCACTCTACCTCTGAGCCACAGCCGTGTGTAAAGACTTTTGGTTTTACATAGGACACGAGTCTCCCAGGTGAAAGTCCAGTGTTTGTTTGACCCGTACACCGCCCCTCCCACCTGCCCTTTCCTGCTCTTCATACTGCAGTAGTTGCCCAGAGCTACAAAAACTGCTGCCACCTGCTGGGTCTCATACAGCAGCTAACAAGTCTGCTGCTGGTGATTTGTGGGCGACTTTGATCTTTAGCCCAGGCCTACTTTTTTTGTGTGTGAAATATTATATATTCGTAATATGTCTTCTCTCTGCCTAAAATAATTGGTTTTGAAAACCTCAGAGGTAAAATCACTTTGTGCTGGGACTAGCAGCTCCACATTTTGGGATGTACACCTAAGCTGTTAATAAAGCTGAAGCAAGCAACTAGCTTTGCATAAAGACTGGAAACAGAGGGAAGTAGCTAGGCTGACTCTGTCCAAAAAGTTCAAAGTCTGTCAACTGGCACCACTAATAAACACATCACTTTTGTTTAATCCATGCAAAACCAAAGTGTAAACAACAATTTACTGTTTTATGGTTGTGTAAGATGCTGATTTTTTTCTTGGCTGGGAACAGTTGCAGGGCAAACAGTGGAGACTCCAGTCATCTACTGGTCCTGGCCAAGAAATAGTGTGGTCATTCTGAAACAATGGTGCCTCTCATTACTGATCCAATCAACACTCTTTGCTATTTCCTATTATCATCTGGCCTGAACACATTACAGATGATGACTGTTAGAGCAGAGCAATATTTGTACTGGGTGATGATTCTTCACGAACAAATAGAAAGGTTAAGTATAGAAGCCATTACAACAAAATGAACAATGGATAAACACATAGTAAAAGGTAACAGGATGATGAAGGCAAACCCATCTAAGTCACAGTTTATTGCTGCCTTTTAAACTCTGACAAAAACCCGAGCAGCACCTGGACTGTTCACACAGGGCGTTGTTTACTGTGCATTGTGCTCGACATGTGCTCGCTCTCATCTGGTTCTCTGGGGAAGCTAATGGTTGGATGCAAATCTAACCATAATCCAAACACACTAAGCACACATCATTGTTATAGAGACAATGATGAGAGGCATTCAACATGGAGTCAATGAAGCTAATAAGCAACATAGAATGTTTATCTAAGCCGTTTCAAATCTGTGCTCCTGTTTATTAAATTCAAAACTGCGTATTTAATAAACTTCAATTCTTTCAGGAACTTCAGTCTGAATTGGTGTATTATTTATCAACACCACCAACAGGTGATTCATTTCAACTTTTTTCGTCAGTGTCTGATGCCGCAAGTCACTGCCTAAGTGCCGGATTTTGACGACTTCGGAATGAAACCGGGCATGTAGAGTCAGTGTCTGATTTGACTGCTCTGGGTTACTGTAGAAACAACATGGTGGACTCGGTGGGAGATGACCCATATGTGGATATAAATGGCTTATACTAACATAACAACACAACAATTCTTATTTTCAGGTGGTAATAAACTAATGAAAATATACCCCAAATCCTACACAATGGATCTTTAACACCCACAGGTTCTTTGATTCGAGCAATAACTGCTACAGACTTTTGATCCCACTGAAGACAGGAAGCCCAGTAGCGGGCAATGACTAGAGTAATGGTAAGTGTGTGTGTGTGTGCAGCACAACACACAGAAATAAATGCTATGTGATATGAAGCGGAGCACACTGTGACTATTGTGCTCCTTGTGTGCCTCTACGTCTGGGAGTCTGAGCCTGATGAAAGCAGGTTTAACCATAATTGTGCAATTAACATGACATCAAAGTCAAAGTGCTTCCTGATGGATCCTCTGCTGTTGCTTTTATTCAAATAAGCTGAAAATGTCAACATGACATCAGCCTGTCACAAATAAAACAAAAACCTCTGGACTTGATATTTCTAACATAAAATAAGAAACAATTCATAGAAAATTTGACATGAATAGGAGCAGAAAATACACACAAAAAGGTAAACAAGAATGAGCCGTGGGTTTAAAAATGTCAGCTCATGGTGAGGTTATAATATACTAGTATATTTCAAAATAAGATTTATGTAGAATATTAGTTGATTCAATTAAAGCTACAGTAGGTGACTTTTATAAAAATAACTTTTGTCATATTTGCTGAAACTGTCACTTTATCCTGACAGTACATAAGACAGATAATCTGTGAAAAAAATCATGTTCATCTGAATCCTAAATGCCTCTAACAGTATTTGCAAGAATCCACGAAAAAACGGAATGAAAAACAACCAATCAGAGCTCAGGAGAAGTCTCTAATGCCAACAGCGTAGACAAGTAAACAGAAGAAGACCGATGACAAAAAGCTTGCTTGCACTCTACAAGAAAACTGTCTTCTTCCTCTTACATGTCTTTGCCTTGTACGTTGTTGGAGAAGGAAGGATAGACAGTTGTTTCATGGCAAGTGGTTGGTTTTTTTTTTCAGCCTTCATGTTTGGCAAGCTCCTCATGAAGCTACACGTTGAAGATATTGAGCTTGACTGAGTGAGAACATGCACTAGGGAGGGTGGGTCCACAGTTTGTCCACAAGCAGTGATTGTCGACTATGTTACAGGAATATGATTTTTCACATTATCTGTCTCGTTGTTACCGCCTGGCTCAAAGATGGCAACAAAAAATAAAGGTCACACACATATATCAATCAAAAAATTATTTATTTAACGTTAACTAAGAAACATATTAACTAACTGGTGGAGTTTGTAAGTGGGAAAGGGATCAGTCATGTAAGAAGTGAGTGGATGAGTGATAATATGGTGCAGTGTTTCCTGGTAAAGAACAAAGGCTGAGGAGCATGCTGCAGGCCCAGCTGGGAGAGTTACTGATTAGAGAGGCGGTCCTATTTTGCCTTCTGGGAGTCCCACCCAGGTGGGCAGGTATGACCAGATGACCCTCCCAGCTCCACCTACCAGCCACCTCCCGGCATCTGCAGTCACATACAGCAGAGTAAGATAATTTGTGTACTTGTGTTTGAAATTGTCTCTATTAAGCTGTGTTAAATGTGTGTTTTGGGTGTGTTTTGAATCAATTAAACCTTACAGCGCTTCACAGAAACCTCTGCTGCCAACTAGTGTTTTGGAGGTGTAACTGCAGAGTGACAGACACACCACCACACACGTATAAATGCTTAGCGTAGGGTCTGCCGCACAATTAATCCCCCTTAAGATAATTGACGGGCAAAGTGGGACACTCCCTCCCTTAAGAATGGGGGTCCTCACCAGGATACCCAAAAATTCAAGCACGGCTACAATATCATGCCATTACCCAAAACAATACATACAACTAGCAATCATAACCCAATGCACTCTGGTGTGTTACTGTTAACATGTGAGCGTCCACTTGCAGTCAGTCTCAACGCCACCCCCTCAGCAACCTTGGTACCTAGGAAGCATTTAAGAGAGAAGAAAACCTGAGCGGACGGACAGAGATACTGCAGGGAGGTAAAACACAAGTTAACATAAGCAGACATAGCTCTAGACATGCCGTCAGCCAGTGTACTTTCAGCTCCTTTCACGTGTGGTATGTCAAGATAAAATGGTTGGAGAAAAGGACACCAACGCATAAGCCATTAATTTGGGTTTGGGAGTGAATGGAGAAAGGTTATGGGATTATGATCAGTGTTCACCACTAAAGCTCTTACTCCACCCCCGACACATACCTCAAAGTGTTGCAATGCCCAGATAAGTGCCAGTGTCTCTTTTCCAATGAATGATGTTCTGTCAGAATATATTGAGAGTTTCAGCAAATTTCATAAAGAGTTATTTTGTATATACGTTACCTACTGTAGCTGTATGGTTTGCTCGTGACATTATCATTCCCCAATTCTTAACTTCAGCCTTGTTACTGGAAGATCGATCTCTGAACTGGCAGTGTAATTCTGAAAGTGGACAATGACAGAGCAGCACTTGCCCTTCCCTTATTATCACCACTGAGGTGGACTTTAGCATGGCCCATGACCCACACCTGCCCCAGTGGGGCTGCTTAGTGCTAGACTGATTGTACTGGGCTAATCCAAGTATGGATTAATGTGTGTGTGTGTTAACAGGGCATTCCTGAAAAGCACACCAGTGCACTATGCTTTACTAGGTCCTATTATTTTAATTCTGTGCAGCACTTTGTGAACCATTTGTTTTAAAAGTGTTATATGAAAAAGCTGTTAACATACAAGTCAGTGCAAAGCAAATACCTTCCTCTGAATACTCTTTCAACCCAATATATATAAACTTTATTGGTGAATGTACAGATTGTGAAACATTTA